GTCCAACGTTGGTCTGTCCTCTCACTACAGTTCGAATATTGTCATCCAACCTCCTGGAAAAAAAGAATCTATCATGTCAAACTCATTCTCTGTGTGCCTGACCCCGACAACTGTGGGAACCTTAAGAGCTACAGAATTGATTTAACAAAAAAAAGCTGATGCTACCAATGCTAAACTCACTTCCCCTCCCCACCCCCATAGGACATCACTATCTTACAGAATTTAAAATTACTGTTATAAAAATAAGAATCCATTTCCTAATTTAATCAGGGCTTCTTGCATTTCTCATCCTTTAAGCAATATTGTGAGTCCTCTCGTCAGTTTTCATTTCAGCTTTCCCCATACTACAGTGCTGTCTCAATCACTTCAAGTTGGCAATGCCAAACTGCACAGAAAACATAAGTATTTCCTGCATACTTACATTTATCTTGTACTTACAGGACAAGTAATACATAATGAAAGTTTTTACAATTGCTAGTTTGATCTCACAAACAAATTCTGAGCAAATGAGTCTTCTGGGTAGTTTGTTCCATCAGCCTTTAAACTGTACTAAAATTTGGTACTTGTTGATTTTTAATTCATTGTTTTTCAAAGCTCTACTTTGCAACCCATGAGCTAAAATAACCTGAAGGGTATTACACAATAGAGGCAAAATATAAAATGTTATAATAAATGTCTCTGTCCCACTATTACACTTTGAGGCTGATCCTATTTGTGTCTCTCAAGCAAATTAATTCCTCCCAGCTCCAGTGCAAGGGTTGTACTTATGAAGCCTCAGTGACAACTCAGCACCTGAGCTGCAATGAAACGGAGAAACATTTACCTTATTTTCAACCTGATTTTGTTCACAACTTCATCAATGTTTGCCAAAGACTACAAGAAGGAAAAAAAGAGAGAAGTGAAACGGGGAACCTTTTACTGTGATACAGATCAGCTGTGACACGTCATGCTTTCTCATGAGTGGCACTTTACAAAGAGAAGAGCAATTACTTTGTTGTACAGATGGAGGCACTGAGACACACGGCAACTTAGCTGCAACCTTCAGGTCACAACACGAAGAGTGGCAAAAACCAGGGCAGGCCAAGGGGCAGCCCTCCAGGTCCCAAAGGCTCCCTGCTTCCCACCCAGCCCTGAGCAAGCAGGGTGCCTCAAGCCCTCCCGTGTCAGCAACTACTCCTGAAACGCCGTGGTGACAGTGACCTCCAGTGGGCAACGGGGACAGAGCTTGTACCTTCCCTGGGCAGAGACCCTGCTGCAGAGCCTGTACATGGACTGGAGGAGGCCTGGCTGCTGCTGGAGCTTTAGTGGGGGTACTGCAGGGAAAACAGCTCTTCACCACTATTAGCAAAAGGAAAAAGCCAAGCCAGCACCACCAGCAAACTAAATAGAAACAGCTGAAAGCCAAAATAGTTGGTGCTACAGAGGATCTTAAGCATGGTAAATACTGGGGCTGCCTCACAACTCAATCTTCAGCAGCAGCATCACTTCCTTTTGCAACAGATTAGTCCAAAACTGCCCCCGAGGCTGATCTGGGTAAGACAAAGTATGGATATGAGCCCATGGCAATCTCATTCCTTATATCTCCGAAGAAACAATAACTCTCAAACACGGGTGACTCTCCAGTGATACTTCAAGGCAACACCTGCCTGATTTGGCTGAAACCTGTGAGGATTCACCACTGATTAAGGCACAGCAAGTCATGACATTTACTGGAAGAGAAAACTCTATATAGAAAGCTGATTTATTTCTACAGATCAGGAGTTTTAATGCAGCAAGCACTTTGGGTGGAAAGGGACTACATAATGACAGTGAACATCATGAGATGTGAATCTAAGAAGTGATTATTGTTATAGTCTTACTACCTGTGCTACTGTTTAAAATAAAAGGCTTGGGTACAGGTTTCAACATGCCTTCAGTCACTTCCTATCAGGTTACCCCTCACAAAAAAGGCTGTGCTGTGAGCACTACTTACTTGCTCAGTGGGAAAGAGAGTATTAATATACTCCACTGCATTGAAATCTGCTCTGTCCAGTGGATCTTGGCTGGGAAATACCTGAAAAGAGGAAAGAAAACAAATACAATCAATACATCACTGTTAATTTCTCTAACTTTACACAGTATCTACTACTTTTAGTTACTTCAGCACCCACTTCTAATTGTTTCACTGCATTGTTCTAACAAGTGTGCACAGAGAGTGGTCAGGCCTGTGCCCAGGAGTAAAGCAGCCACATTCCTGTGGATATCAGCCTGGGTAAATGCCAATAACATACATACATGCTTCCACATACAGCCCCAGGCGTATCAAGCAATCATTTACAAGGAATTCCTGACACAGGCAAACCATTAATTATCCATCCCAAACCATTCTGATGTATCTGGAAATGACCCCCTGTGCTGTGGCATTGCCCTGATCTTTCCAAGGCCCTGTGGTGAGAGAAGAGGATTTGCTGTTCACAGCCACGTAACAGGGATCATGATGAACTGAGAAATGGTTGTACAAGTTCTCTGGAGACTTGGGTTTGCCACTTCCACATGAAAAAGAGGGAGAGAAACAGAATCTGCTGAATGATTATTCCTACCCACAAGAAAGGGGAAAGAGCAGCTGCAGTACAACAGATCTCATCTCTCCTCAGAAGTAGCTCAAACGACACAAAGGCAGCTGTCAAGCTTTGCTTTTCATCCCCACAGACTAAATGATGCTTTCCTTTCTCTGCTAACATACTCCTTCCATATTCAGATTCACACAGCCATCAGCTCCGCACTCTGTGGTCAAAACCCTGCCTAGCAAATGCACGGCTCATCCCTACACATCACCCTGGTCACCAAAAGCCTTCACAGAAACCTGCATGACCTGAGCACACACAGCATCTATGCTGTTTTACACATTTTGCAGCTTAAAAGCAGTGGTTTTGTGAGACCATTTCTATGAACCAGACCTCTTCAGCAGCTTTCCCAAAGCTACTCCTGTGGCCAAGGAGAAGCAGGCAACATGAGGTGGTGCCTGAATGAGGAACATGCTCTGACATTAGGCCAACCTCACAGCACAGCTGCAGCATCACAACCAGCCTGTCCTGCTCTGGGCTCACAGTTCCTGCAGATTCAGTAAACCCCAAATCTCCACAAGCAGCATAAGCAAAGGATAAGATGGACAGTAAAGGCTGCTCAGGAGCTTTACTCCAACTGCAGATACAGATCAGTGCTGCAGGCAGCTGTACCAGCTGAAGAGGTTGCTACTCCTTTGGTTTTGTCACAGCCCATTAACCAGAAATGAGCACCCCACATTTGGTGGAGCACCACGTGTGCTCCCTGCCTCACTTCAGGCAGGAGTCAGCTGAGCCAGTTCCCATTTCACCAGAGCCTGGCGGGTTCTGCCCAAAGCTGATTAAGAAACAAAGGAACAAGAAGATTATTGGGTTAGGAAGTGCCAGTGAGGAAGTGATGGAAGGCAGGAGGCAGCAGCAACCTCAAAACCTCCCCTAGCTCTGGATGTATCTGCCAACAGCCCCTGCTGCCTGTTAAAATAATTCAGCCAGGGATTTGATGGATTTTCCACTGCTTGAAAACTCAAGTCAAGACTGTCTCTAAAAGATATGGTTTACACTGAAGAGACATTTTGTGCTTGATTAAAATGTCATTAGGTAACCTTCCTTGGTTGCCTGATGTCAGAAATCACAGGAGGCTTTCAAACACTCAGGTTCTATCAAGCACAGAGGGTTCTTCTGGACAAGTTCCAGGTCTACTTTAGAAACAGGCATTTAACTTAGCAATTCTTAAAGTTTCAGTAAAAATTACTCAATGATTTACTGCCAATGATAAACTCATTGATTTTCCCCATGCAAAGACAAATGTGGGGTGTCTCTCTGGAGCAACAATACTCCAAAGCTGATGCAGCACCCAAAGAAAAACTGTGCTGCCCTCCTCACCTGCTAGCGCTGGGCTCACTCCAGATGCCATGGTCTGCCCCAGGTCTTTGATGAGAGCCACCAAAAGTGATCCACCAGCCTCAATACCAAAGAAACTGTGGTAACTCAAGTGATGTTCTGAGACACAGCTACTGCTGCCCACAGACTTCTACTACATGGAAGAGCTTTTCAGATGGAAGGGTTGGCTGAAAACAGTCACAGACTCCAACAGATACATGACTTTACCCCAGGTTCTTGTGGGCTTCAAGGAACACTGGAGGACTTGGGCCGGAACATACCAATCACAAAAGTCAAACCAAGCCATTTAGATTACCCTGACTTCACAGAATCATAGGATTGTTTGGGATAAAAAGGACCTTAAGATCATGCAGTTCCAACCCCCTGCCACGGGCAGGGACACCTTCCACTGAGCAGGTTGCTCCAAGCCCCTGTGTCCAACCTGGCCTTGAACACTGCCAGGGATGAGGCAGCCACAGCTTCTCCGGGCACCCTGTGCCAGCGCCTCAGCACCCTCACAGCCGAGTCGCAAAACACTGAGCTCCATTAAGACACTTTACACTCCCAGTACTCGGCAGACAGGACAGGCACGGCCGGCCCAGCGCGGTCAACACCCCAATGGGGAAGCAATCAGATGAGCTCTGCCGCGCTGAGGGCAGCCGCAGGGCGCTGCGGAGACCGCTGACACCCCCTCAGCACCGCAGCGGCCGCGGCCCCGTGTGGGCCCAGGACGCCGGCAGAGCGCGCCGGGGCCCTCACAGGGCGGGCACCGGGCCGCGCCCACAGCCGGTGCCTCACCGGAGGAGCTGAGCCCTGCCCGCCCGTCCCGGCGCACCTGCTCGATGGCGGCCTGCACGGCAGGGGCCAGCTCCAGCGCCGCCTCCAACCCGGCCTCCAGCTCCGGCTCGTCCTCCTCCATGGCGGCCGCCGCTTCCGGGCCGCGCGGCATGGCGGGAGCCGGAGGACACGCCCCCTCCGCCGCAGCAGCCGGGGGCGTGGCTTGGGAGGGGCGGGAACCCGGTGTGGGCGTGGTTTCCATTGGGCGGGGCGGGGCCTGCCGCCCGGCGGTGCGGGGCGCGTCCCGGCGGGGGCGGCAGCGGCGGGGCCGGTCCCTCCCGAGCGGAGCCGAGAGGAGCCGAGCGGGACCCTCCCGCCGCCCGTCCCGCTGTTGACAAGCGGCGGCGGGGGCAGCGCAGCGGCCGCGGTCATCCTCATGTGGCGGACGCTGGCTCTCGCCTCCGCCTTCTTCCCGGGGCTCTTCGTCCTCTGCATCCGGTTGCTGCGCTGGGCCGCCCCGGGATGGAGCCTCAAGGACCGCATCCTCCTCAGCGGCAGGTACGGACGGGATCGGCGGGAGGAGGCGCGGATCGCGGCGGGCTGCCACCGTTACACATCACGGCGGACAGGGACCGGGATCGGGACCGGAGCGATCCGGACGGGACAAGAGCACCGAGCCCCGGCGCTGGGAGCTGTCCCCGGGGGTGCCCCGACCCCCGGTAGCCCCGAGGCCGGACACTGCGAGGGGAGCAGGGACCCCGCGGGCTCCCGTTGGCGGTGCGGGGATGCTCGGGTGCAGCTCTCCCTCTGTACCCGCTGAGGCTCGGGATGGCAGGGACGAGACCCGGACACCCCCTCCCCGCCGTGTCGCGGTGTCGGGGCCTGGCACAGCAGCGTCCCTCGCCGCTGGGCGCGGGGCAGAGCCGTGACAAGGCGTTCGGGGCGTGCTCCGAGTAGGCGTCGAGTGCCAGGAGCAAACCCGGTGCAAGCGGGGCCACCGCGGCTCCTCTGCCCTGCCGGGAGACGTTCGGGGCGACCTGTTCTTGCTCTCTGCGTTTCAGGTTGGTGTCGACGGTCCAAGCCACGATGGCCACAGTGTCAGGGATCACGGTTGTCCGTAGCTGCAAGGATGTGGTGTATGACAGGTAACCCTTGCTGTCCCGTGAGGAGCACACACAGGCTGTGCCCGCCCAGCTTGCAGCTGGAGTGTTTTATGCCGAGGGCTTGCATGTACAAAGGGAAGAGGGAAACTAGTTTCACGTTCCTATTTCCTCTGCTTCGGGTGAAGGGTTGGGCAATGCACTGGCCAAACACCCCCCAAAAGGCACATGCTTGTGCCCTGAGCTCAGCCCTGAGAGGCTGCTGTGCCAGCATGGAGGTTCTGCTCTTCAGGATGGGCTGTAACATAGGCTCATATATGAGCCAAAAATAAAGACATCATCACTTCTAAAGGGGTTGGGAGTCTCCTTGCTGGAAGGGGAAAGGGCTAACAACTGAAACAGACCTAGTGAGAATTGACTTTAGAGGTTCATCGCCTTCTCCGTGCCAGATGGATTCTGAAGGAGTCCAGAAATGAGAAAATTAGTACAGAGTCAGCTCTGAAGAAAAAGCACATTGCCTTGTCCTCAGTGCTCAGAGATAATCTGCCCCAGAAGTGGCTCTCAGCAGGAGCGATAGTGCAATCTGGGTCAGAAGACTTAAAAACAGAGCAATTATCAGGAGAGCAAATTGTAGGAGGGCAGAATATAATTACGTTAAGGTGGCATTTGACCATCACACCCTGGATTTTAGGGCGATTCTCAGGGAAGGCTGCCGCCTTGGTCATCGCAGACTTGCCCTTAATACACAGATGTGAAATGTCCTCCCTTGCACTAGAGAGTGAGATCTATCCCAATTGCTCAGTCCTGATAACCTGGGGCAGTCTAATGAGTTACCATTTGACTCTAAAATAAAATCTCTGCTGTACAGATAAGGCAGATGATGAATCCCAGACCCACACAGTCACAGGCACTGCTGGCAGTCCTCCTCCTCCCCAGAACCCAGTGTTCTCAAGGCCAGCAGCTCCATGCAACTACTTTGTGGTCAGAGACCTAGATTTTCTTTGGATCTGAAGGAAATACAGCCCAGCGCTCAGCAGGGAAGGCCTCAGAGAATGACAGTGAACCAGAGAGCCGGGAAGCATCACAAAGGTTGCAGTAAAATTTGCCAATTTATTTACACAGGCAGGCAATCATTATATTGCTGGCACCATAATTGCCCTCCAAAGCCCTGGGCAAGTTTTGCAAACACAATAGTCACTTCCCCTCCCTGCTTTACATCACTTAAATCTTTCTATCTGGAACGGGAACGCGTGTGCCAGTTTTTCTCTGGAGATGCTAGGCAAGCAGAAGCAGATTTGTTTGAGCCCCAAGCTACGTTTCTTCAAGCAGCAGTGTAGGATGGGTTGGTTTTGTATTGGTTTATCAATGTGATTTCACACAGGACAGTTTAAGGAGCCTGGTGTCCTGCAGAGCAGGGCTTGCTGCTGTCTGGATTGTGCAACCGGGATTCCAACATGCATTGGGAACAGGCAGCTGCCTGCAATTATTTCCCAACAGACAAAACGCCTCGTAGGGGTTTATTGCCTATATTGGATATTTTGCAGCTCACTCTCCAAGGTCCAGGCCAGGCATCCCTAATTACCTCTGAGGTCTCTGGGTGCTTTCCGAGCACTCCCTGGGTGAGGCAGCCAGCCGAAGCTGTGTGGCAGGCAGGAAGGACCCAGACTCGGAGTTTTTCCCCCTACCAAGCACCACCTTTGGTGTCCCAGTACTGAGGGAAGAAGATTACCTGCCGCAAGGTGTCAGATTAGTGCTGGATCCTGAGCAGTGCTGTGCCCTGCACAGCAAACACCTGCTGTTGGGCTAATCAAGATCCTCCCATTAGCACTGTGTTTGTGCTGGGCTGGGCTGAGCTCTGTGCCTGGCACGACGAGGTGCCCTCCACTGGTACCAGGTACCTTTTCTCTGGGACAGTCTGCACCTGCTGAGCCAAATCCAGTTAAAATTCACCCCCTTTCACCTTACTTCAGCTTCAAAATCTGACACTTCCATTTCAGACCTAAAGCCTCCCTTCCACCTTCTAGAGCATCGCAAGGTGCTCAGGGCTGCTGTGATGCCTGTGTGTGTGTTGCTCCTCCCCTAGGCACTGGCTGGCCGTGGAGTACATCTGGGTCCTTGTTCCCTACATGACCTATGACATTTATGTCATGTACCTCTGCCACTGGCACAAGAGCCTGGACAGGGGAATCGTGGAGAAGAAGCACTCGCTGGCCAGCGTGTGGAGCTTCCTGCTGCAGGAGCGGCTGATGGTGACCCACCACCTCTTCATCCTCATCGTGCTCACCCCCATCACACAGGTAAGGGCTGGGCATGGCTGCACTGAAATCCAGCCTGCAAGGAGCCCCGTGTGGCTGTAAGGACTTGTGACCAAGACTGTCACTGTCAAAGCATCTCTGATGGTCAGAAGTCCATGACCACCCTGGGGATGGTCAGTGTTAGCTCCCAGCCCTGTCCTCACTGCTGGCTTTATTTGCAGCACTTCAGGGGAGAGCTGGGGGACTTCTTCGTGGGCTGCATCTTCATGGCAGAGCTGAGCACACCTTTTGTATCGCTGGGCAAAATCCTGATGCAGGTAGGTGAGGAGGGATTTGGCACAGCAGTTCATACCCTTTCCCTGCCCCGGGCTGGCCTGTGAGCAGCTGAGCTGGGGGTCTCGGAGGAGGCAGCCCCACAGCTGTAACCCCAAGCTCCCTTTAGTGCTGTTTTCCATCAGATTCCCATCCTATGTCCCTTTCTCCCAGTAAGCTGCACGCCCAGTAGCATCCCCGAACTGGGGCTGTGCCGTGTCCTGGTGCTGCCCCCTCCTGTCTGTACGCTGTAACTCCTCCTGCACCCTCTCCCCTTCTACCCTTCTCCATCCCTATCCACCCTGCTCCCTCCAAGACGCTCCCCCTCACTCATTACCTCCTGGGTGCTCGTTTCCATGCGCCCAGCACAGCCCATGCCCAAGGAGCAATGGGGTGCTGCCTGCCCAACACTCACCCCATGTTCACCTCTTCCTTCCCCAGCTCAAAATGCAGGACACGCTCCTGCACAAGGTGAACGGGATCCTCATCCTGGTGACCTTCTTCCTCTGCCGCATTCTCCTCTTCCCCTTCATGTACGCGGCCTACGCCCGGCAGGTGGGAATCCCTGTTTACATGGTGCCTTTCCGCATCCCCCTGCACTGCAACATCGCCAACGCCTCCCTCATCGCCCCCCAGCTCTACTGGTTCAGGCTCATCTGCCGCAAGGCCGCTCGCCTCTACGGCAGCTCGCCCGCCGACAAGAGCAGATAACGGCCGGCGCAGGGCTGGAAAAGGGTCAGCTCCCCCCGGCTCTTCCACCTTCACTGCGGGGACCAGCGTGGGAGCAGAGCAGCAGGAGCAGTGATCCCGCTGGGCTGTGTTAGCTGGAGCAGCCTCACACCATCCTGTGCCAGGCAGCACCAGCCTGGGAAGGCTTTCCTCCCACACTGCTCCAGTGCCTTGTGTCCTCCCACCCGTGGGAGCCGGGGTAGGAGCCAGCCTGTAAGCACGACATTCCTGCTGGGATTCAACGCCGTGGCTCTGAACGGTCACACGAGAGGGGTTTGTTACAACCCCCCCCGCCGCGTCCTTCGGGGCTGACACCAGACACCGCGGCAGCGAGCGGCGTGCGAGGGAGTCCGCAGCGCTGAAGGCAGCAGTGGAGCTGTTGCTGGAGCGTGCCCAGCCTCATGCAGCAGCGCTGGGGACACGGGAGCCATGTACTGGACCTGCTGCAGCCCCAACTCGCTGCTCCAGCTCTGGCTCAACCTCCAGCTGAGAGCAGAGCCAGGCCAGGGGCTGCAGTGGTTCTGCAGAGCCTGTTCCTGACCACTTCACTACTCCCGTGTTCAGCCTCTTACCTCCTGCTGCTGCTGGACTCAAACCCCACTTAACCCAAAGGTGCTTTTTCACTATAACTGATGTCTGTGGCTGGTGGTCCCAGGGTTGGAGGTTCCGGTGTTCCCAGCAGGGCTGGAGGAGAGAGAAGCTTGTGCCAGGACAGAGGAATGGTTATGCTGTTTCCCGGTAATGCTGGCAGAGCAGAGCACCCATGGCTGAACAGCAGGATGGGGACAAGCGACTGCTAGGCCCTTGTCTCACCAACACATGGGGCACTATGTAGAGCCCTTCATCAGCAGGGGGTGCAACTTCCATCCTCTTCCCCACCTTCAGTTGTTTTTCTGTCCCACACCCCCCTCCAGTGGGTATTTAAAATCCTCTGCCCTGCTCTCCCACCAGCACCCCGTGTCCATCCCTCCTGCCCCTCTCAGTGCATAAGGAACCAGCACTCCCAGAGCAGGGCACTGAGCTGCACCCAGCCCATTTCCACCTTCAGTCTCAGCAGAATGGATACAGGCTTCCCAGCACCACGGGGTTCACAAGCCTTGCAGGTGGGTGTCAGTAACAGCTCAGTTCCTTCCCTGCAGCCAGCACAAGCCAGGGCAGCCACCTCCTTTCTGCAGCCCTCTCAGCTTGCCTGGGGGTCTCCTGCTCCAGGGCAGGTACTGCACCAGCATGGCCTTGGCAGCCCCCATGCCCAGAGACCTGTAACCACTCTGTGCCTTTCACTCTGCCTAAAACAACAGCAGAGCTCTGGGAGACCTGGTTCTCTTGGGTCTGATCCTGTCCCTGCCATGGCTGTATTCTGGAAAGAGTAAAATAAAGGGCCTCTTCCAACATGCGGTCAGTTATTGCACAAACGCTACGGTTACATTAACGACCGAGGCCAGCTGATGTTATAAACCGCTTGCAACCTCTTACAGATGTTTTTATCTCGCTGTTTTAACTGCAAGTAACGCGCCTTATGTAAGGACAGAAACAGAAAGCCAACGAGGCATCTCTGTTTGCACTAACACCACCCTATTCACTGTCAGGAGACCAATAAAGATTTCCTTTCTGAGTCACACCACTGGATGTTTCTCCCATGTGCTGTTCATTTCTGGGTGGGGGTGTTAACACGTGGGGTTACTGCTGCACCCCCACCTCAGCACACGTATTTCCCAAGGTTCTTGCCCATCCTGAGCTCACCTGACTCACATCCCAGTGTCCGGCAGCACGTGTTGAACCCAGCAATCTACCCAGGACACGGGAGGGCTAGCGGCAGGGGAGCCCAAGGGAAATGATTTCCCTGATGCCAGAGGATGATGGGCTCTTTATAAACCCAGGCTGCCAGCAGGCAAAACTGGAGCCATGGGCCCAGCAGCTTGGCTCAGGAACAACTGTATCCAAAGCTATTCCCACTGGAAAATTAGGGAGTGGTTGTTCTGATCTATCTTTACACAGCCCCTTCAATAGGCTGGAAGAATACACGGGGGGGGGGGGGAATAAGCTCCAAACAGAAAAGTAGAAAGGGTTTATTATAGATCTTACAGCTTCCCACGTAAGAGGTCCCCTCTGTCACTCCAGCCCCTCAAGCCGGCTCCCCACCTGAGTGTGCTCCCAGCTTGCTAAGTTTCTGCAGCAGGGTGCCACGCAGCTCCTGGTCACTGACGTTGTCCGTGATGGACTCCAGGAAGTGCCTCTCGTTGGCTCTGTGCAGCATGTTGCTGGGGGATGTATCAGCACTGCTGAACACCTCATACTGCAAGAGGATCTCCAACGCTACCACCACCAGCGGCTCGCTGCACCCCTGCTCTGGCAGCATGGCAGCGACGTGCAGCAGGTGGCAGAACATCTGGATGCAGATGAAGGACACCTCCTGTGTGAAGGTCCCGTCCTCAGGGTGCGAGGGGGACCCCGCGATGCTCTTGACAGAGCCCAGCAGGTCTGTCAAACTGCTGCAGTAGAGCTGGACCACATGGAACCACGCCTCTGCTGGCAGCCAGGTGGAGCAGCTGGAGCTGCAGAGGAGCTGGAAAGCCCGCAGGAAGAGCATGGAGAACTGGAGGTAGCAGGCAAATGGCCGGAGGTTGAGCAGGGGCATGTGCTGCACGTACTCAAGCGTGTACGGCACATGCAGGATTTGCCTCTGCAGCAGGTTTTCAACCACATGTGCAAGCCTCTTCCATTCACTGTGGCTGCACCAAGGGAGGACCTGTATGAGGGCCACCAGGAACCCTTTGCTGAAGAGATTTACTTCTTCGGGGTTGTCCACATTGACTGTGAGGAGCGTCAGCATCGTCTCCCTGAGCGCCGTGGAGATGCAGCAGCATTCCATCCATGCCAGGAGCCCGGTGCCCGGTCCATAGGCTGGCAAAGGCTGGGATGTCCACTCCTCCTCGGGAAGTGTGCAGATCTCAAACAGTGTTGCCGGGACCTCGTTCTTGAAGTGGTCTCCATAAAGCTTCTTCAGCCGCAGACCAATGGTCCAGTCCAGCAACGCCACCCTCCTGTGAAGCCAAGCGAGTGACTGGACCCACAGCTCAGGGGAAGGGGCAGTTTCTGGTCTTACCACTTCACAGAGCTGGCAGAGGATGTTCAGTATCAGGTCTTTGGTCTCCAGAGAAGGAAAGAGCTGGTCCCTAGGCCGATGCCAGTACTTTGTGTAACCATCTAGAAGCTTGCAGAGGCTGAGGAGAAGTGGGAATGGGTGACAGGACTTGATCCAGTGTTCTTCTGAACTAGACTGTATCCCCAAAACCTTACTGAGGATCTGCAGGCTCAGCTCAATGTGAACAGAGTCCGACTTCAAATAGGGAAAGACAAAGGTTTTGGTCACCTCTGCTGGTGACACAAGGGGGGTGGCTGAGCTTGGCTCCATAAGAAAGGCCAGGAACTCAAGGAACTGTTCCTCTTCCCTCGCAGTGGAAAGCCTCCCCCATACTGCCTCCTCCAGACACCTCAGCACCAGGCTGCGTGGCCTGCTGGGATCATCGTGGGTCTCCAGGAAGCTCAGTACTGGGAAGGAGCAGAGTATTTGTGCAAGGAACTGGTGAGCTCCCAGATTGACTACAGCAAGGTTACAAACCTGCTTCACTGTGGCCTCAGGGTACATCAGAGTGAGCCTGGCCACAGAGGCCACAGCTCTGGTCAGGCCCTCATCAGACACGCTCTTTGTGAGTTGGTTGAAAGTCACATTTAGATCCTCCTGAAATCCCTCCATGACAACCTGCAAGTTCAGGGACAGACCCCGTCCACCCCAGGACACCAGGATGCCCGAGATCACTTGGTTTTTGTCAGTTAATGACAGCTCATTGTAACACTCCACAATGGCTTTGGTCACTTGCCTCTGTAGCTCTTGGGACTCCTTGTCTTGGTGGAGCATGGCAAAGCTCACCAGCGTCTCCAGCAATTTCAAAACTAGCTCTGGTTTCTGGAAGAGAGCTTTGTTTTTCACAAGGCAGCCAAGCCAGTCCCTTGAAAAGGCCCAGGTCTTCTCAGATGCAAAAATGGAGCACATTTCCACATGCCGGTCCAGCTTTTGCTCAATGATTGTCATGGCCACTGAAGACACAAGGCTGGTGTCCAAATCCTTGCTCTTCAGGCTGGCACTGATCTCCTTAAGCAAGTCCTTAGAGATCTGTGTCAGCTTTAACACTACACGTGTCTCATCCTCACCCAGGTCTTTAGCTTCTGAGAAGCAACCCAGGTTCTTCCCAAGGGTGGTAAGTGTATCCAGGAGCCGGTAACTCTCATAGCAGAACTTCTCCTCAGAGCTGCCTAGGGTTCCCTGCAGCTCCTCCCCCCAGGCATGTAACAAGCTAGACAGAAAGTCCAAGCCAACAAAGAGCTCCTCATGGGAGAGCTTGGCCATGGACAAGAGGCTCATGCTCCTTTCTGCCTCCCTCACCTTCTCATCCAGCCCTCTGTGGTGGTACATGCTTTCAGTGTCACCAGTCCAGAGGCTGACCACAGTGCTGATCTTCTCCAGGTACTCTGCCACAGGGAGGGGGCTGCTCTCTGACTCCAGCTCAGTGAACATGGACAGTAGCTCTGCCAGGTTGGCCACAGCATAGCACTTCATGCAGGGCAGGGCAATGCACCCATAGATTCGCTTTAACCCCTCTATTAGGACCATGAGAAGGCTGGTGGCAGCAGGGGGGTCGTTCAGAGGATCAGGGTCACCCTTGAATCTCTTTGGGGGCTGGAGGCCATCATCCAGGGAGGACTCACACTCATGCTGACATATGAGAGCGCTGAATGCAGAGACTGTTGCATCTTCCTCTCCCTCCTTGTGCTTCATCACCTCCCACCACACATCCAAGAAAAGCCTGATGTCTGATGGGGATGTCTCACTGGCGATGTACTCCACCAAGTGCTGCAGCTGGCTCCGGCACACATCCTGGGGCAGCGCCAGCAGCAGGCGCACAAAGAGCCGGGGCTCGCTGAGAGCTTTGACGAGCTCGAAGAGGACGGTGTGGTTAACGTCGGGGATCATCCTGCCCATGGAGAAGAAGCCATCCTCCTTCCAGCCCTGGTCCAGCGAAGCAGCCGGGGGAGCCGGCAGCAAGACTTTAGCCCAGACGATGGCCACAGCCTCCTCCTTCCACAGGCTGTGCTGCAGCGGTGAGCGACAGAGGGCCCCGATCTCCCCGAGGGCGTCGGTGATGGGGGGTCCCACGCGTGGCCAGTCGGCTTTGCGCAGCTCCCGCAGCGACCGCGGCTGGGTCAGCCGTGCGGCCAGCAGGAACCCGCCCTGCAGGATGGCCGTCTCCTCGCACACGCCCCACGGCCCTGCGCGGGACACACCGTTACCTCGGACCGGCCCCGGCCGCTCCCCACCGCGTCCCACCCGGCCCCGCTCCCCCCAGCCCCACACCTACCGGCCTCCATGGCTGCGGCGCGCCCGGCTTCCGGCGCCGCGATCTGACGTC